CTGGTTGTCCTGGAACTCACTCTGTAGACCAGGCTGGCCTCAGACTCAGATCTGCCTGCCTCGGCCTCCTGAGTGCTGGGATTTAAGGTGTGGGCCACCTTCAATGTGTAAGTATGTTCTCTAAAATGTTTTCATTTTTGTAATTGGTTCTAAACTTTTGCATCCCAGTTTTCTACCTTTACCCATTTAGTTTTATCTTTCCTAACACTGTAGTTTTCTATTACATAGATTTTCTGATATTTGATGATTATGTACAGTTAACATGTCACTTAAGCCACTTGTAAATTTCTTGATATTAAATGCCTAAATGGAAAAAAAATGCTTTTTATTTTTTTGATTTATTTGAGATAGGATGTCACTCTGTAGTCCAGGCTGACCTGGAACTCATGATGGCCTCAGACTCATGACAGTCCTTCTGTATCAGCCTCCCAAGTCGTGGGATTACAGGCATCAGCCACCTTGCCCAGCCAATATCTATCTATCTATCTGTCTGTCTGTCTGTCTGTCTATCTATATATCTATCGATTTTTTTTTTTTATGTTTTCTCAGGACAGGGTTTCTCTGTGTAGTCATGGCTGTCCTGTAATCGCTCTGTAGACCAGGCTTACCTTGAACTCAGAGATCTGCCTGCCTCTGCCTCTTGAGTGCTGGGATTAAAGGTGTGCACCACCACTACCTGGAAGTCCATCTAAATTTTAATAAGTTTGTTTATTTAATTTTGAAGACAGAGTCTCACTGTGTAGCACTAACTATCCTGGAACTTGCTGTTTAAACTGGGCTGGATTCTGACTCAGAAATCTGCGTGCCTCTGCCTCATGGGTGTTGCTGAAGGTGGCTATGCTCTGCTGCTTTTTTTTTTCCTTCCCTTATTTTAACATTGAATTAATGAGCATATTTTTCTGTTGTATAGTATAAACTTTGCAGTATTTGATACCTTTTTCTTCCTTTGAGTTGGTTCCATAAGATAATAAACTCAGTGGAATTGCTTATCAGAGGATATAAGTATTTGTGGAGTTGCAAAGACTTTTGCTTTTTCCCAGAAAAGAGTTAAGCAGGCTCACACTGGCATTTTAGTGTGAATGTACTAGCTTTGCCATCATTTTGCTAACTTTGTGGTTATAATTGATAATTATGATGTGGTTACTTGATTGGGAGTTATTAATGGAAATAAGTTGTATTGTTTAGTCGTTTCAAAGTCATATAGTTGACCATAATTTTATAGTTACTGAACAATGCCTTATGTACTGGAACAAGTATCTATATACAAATATCTATTTCATATTTTCTGCCACTTCCTTGTTTGTTTCTCTTAAAGTTTACTGAAACTTATGACAGCCTAATAACATCAGTGCTTAGATTTTGTGCACTTTTCACATTGATTAGCTTTAATTTATGAGCTACTTTCTGAATTATGATTTCAAGGAATTACTTAATTTTCCATATATTCTTCTGCACAGTGAATATAGTTTTAGAGTGGTTATTAGGACCCAAATTGTCATGAATCTATTTGTGAGCCATGATTTGCTTAGGCAGATTATTTATTTTCTGTAAGGAGAACAACCCTTATCCTTGTAAGCATTTGAAGAGTATCAGTACTCTGTCAGGGACTTTCGAGTACTCAATGAATGGTAAAGTGATTACTGTTGAAGTTCATTCAGAAATTCTCATCTCCTACAGTCCTTTCAGGCATGCTTATGATATGACTTGGCAGAAAATACAATAGGCATTTCTTTGGTAGCTTTAGCAACAAATTTGGATTTTTCTTAGGAATTTATAATTTGTGGTAGAAATTACTACCTTAGAATTTCCATAAGCCTATTTCAGAGAACTTCATTTTGTTCCATATGCACCCTTTTCCCTAGGTCAGACTTTCCTTTTCATGTAGTAGTGTAGCATATACATATTTTGAGATTGTAAAAATTGATGCTATAATTTTCACTAATCTCACCATCAACATTCTAATGAGACCTTTTGTATCATTTTCTGATGAAATTAAAATACCACAGTATACCAGGTGGTGGTGGCATGCCTTTAATCCCAGCACTCAGGCAGCAGAGGTAGATGGCTCTCTGAATTCTAGACTAGCCTGGTCTTCCTAGTGAGTTCCTGGACAGCCAGAGCTACACAAAGAAGCTCTGTCTTGAAAAAACAAAAAAACCCAAAACCAACCAACCAACCAAACAAAAGACACAGTTCTAATTATTTGTTCTTTTGAAGTTTTTACCAAGAATTCAGCTAACATAGTTATACCATCAATTCTCAGTTACCATGTTGCAAGTTGCTGGTGTCTTTGTGCCATTTGTCAGGTGTGTTTTAATGGTGAAATACAGATATTGGGCTGGGGATTTTCCTTTCACTTTCTTAAACTTCAACATGCTTTGAGAGGAAGAGAAAGAAGTAAACTTACTGTTATTGTAATAGGAGTTATATGTAACCTGTATTTTTCCTCTTTGTAATGAAAAGTTATTAGTGAGTTCTCACTGCTGATGATGATTGACGAAGTGTAATTTTTAAAAATGTGTGTGTGGTGTACCTGCACATCCATGAGGGTGTGTGCGTGTCTGTATGGTTGTACATTCACATGTGTGCGCATGTGTGGAGGCCTGGCATAATTTCGAGTGTTTGCCTGAATTAGTCTCTACCTTATTTTCTAAAGTTTTTATTTGTTGTTGTTGTTGTTGTTATGTGTATGTGCTTGTGCTTGTGCATGATGTATATTTGTGGGCATACATGGGTGTAGAGATTGGAGGACAATTCTGTGGAATCAGTTCTCTCTCCATCTTTGCATGGGTTCCAAGGTTCACACTAAGGTCGACATGCTTGGACAGCGAATACCTTTATCCATTTAGTTATCTACATTGGTTTTGGAATGGAGTCTCACTATGAATGGAGCTCATGCATTCAGCAAGGCTAGCTGGCGAATGGATTCTAGAGACCCACCTGACTCCTCTGACCCAGCACTGTGGTTACAAATTCACACCTCTCTCCTTGGCCCAGCTTGTATGTGGGAACTAGGGATCAAACTCAGGTTTTCATACTTGTGTGTCAAGTACTATGCTGACAGCCATTTCTCCAGCTCATAAGTAATTTTAATTTTCTTTTTTTGGTGTGTTTACACGTATGTGGTATATGTTTGTGTGCATGGGTACATACCAGTATACTTCCTTCAACCTTTTCTCTACCTTGTTTTTTGATGCAAGGTCTCTTTCTGAACTTAAAGTTCACTCTTTTGACTAGAATGATTATTTAGTGAGCTCCCAGGATCCGCTTGTCTCTGGTGCTAGGGTCATGATGAGTGCTGCCATCTTGGCTTTTTACAGGAGTGCTGGGGATCCGAACTCAGGTCCGCATGCTTGCACAGCGAATACTTTACCACTGAGCCATCTTCCCAGCTCCCAAATCATACTTCTTCAAGTGTGAATTTCTAGTTCTCATACATAAAGGTCAAGGTTTAATCTCTGGCACTGCATAAACCAGACATTGTAGCACAGGTATGTGATCTCAGTAGTGGGAAAACAGAGGCAGGAAGAGCCGAAGTTTAAGCTTATTCTTGGCTATATACCAGCCTAGGTCATGAGATTTTAACTTCAAAACAAAAAGCAGCCTTAGCTGGTCTACAGCTCATTATTAGAGAGAGCCTTTCCTCTGCCTCCCAAGTGCTGAGACAAAAGGTGTATGCCACCACTCCTGGCCCCTAAGCATTTTATGTTAAAAAAGAAAATTTTAGTGAAGAGAAGGCAACAAGTATATTTTATTCATATGTTTTGAGCAAAAGTAATATTGTAAACATTATATCATATAACTTACTCTGTTACCAAATCTAAAACCATGTTTTTAGTAAAACTTAATCTACTTTGTATATTTGTCACTTTTAGTCTATGAGTTCTGAGAAACATCAGCTTGCCTACTTAACCTAGGCATCAGTGGTCTGGGAATAATTGAAAATAAAATTTAACTTTAAAAGTAAATTAATTTGCCAGGTGGTAGTGGTGCAAGCCTTTAATCTCAGCACTTGGGAGGCAGAGGCCAGCCTGGTACAAAGAGCAAGTTCCAGGATAGCCAGAGCTACACAGAGAAACTCTGTTTTGAAAAACAAAACCAAACAAAGCCCAAAAGAGTAAGCTGTTTTGTTTTTGGATTTTTTTTTTTTCTTTTGAGATACATAGCTCTGGCTAACATGGAATTCACTATGTAGGCCAGGCTAGCTTTGCCTTCATAGAGATCTGCCTTTCTCTGCCTCCTGATTGTTGGGATTAAAGGCATTGTGTCCAGTATTACTTTTTTTTTTAATTAAAGAATATTTTTGTGGTATTGAACTGATTTTACTATTTACATATTTATTGTGTGCTTTATGCATCTCATCATCTTTGAGATCAAAGCTTCAGATGCTATTGATAATGATATGCCTGGAAAACGTGTTGTATGCTGTGAGTAGAGAAAAAATTAAAAACTGCTGCTTCCCTCGCTGAGGTTGGGAATACATTTCTCACTTTTGAAGAGTTTCATTTCCCTCCATTGATGAGCTAAGCATTCCATAATCAGTATACACAAGGAAGATATCAAATCCACAGACTAAAGATCAGTTTTAACTCTCAGGAGATTTTGGCATTAAATGTGTAGTGTTCAGTTTCTAGGCACAAACATAAAGTACGATTTAGTATTAAGTATGATTTAGTATTTAATATTAAGTATTTAGTATTGGTATAAAGTATGATTTAGTATTAAGCATTAGGAAAATACATTTAAAGTCAAAGTAAAATGCAGTATAACTTACATAAACTTAATACTGTTTGAGTTCATGCTCTAGTCTGTATTTTACACATTATTTTCTTAATTCTTTTTGGTATCCATCAAGTACATGTGAAAGATTGTAGTGAAATCATAGTATATAAAAGAACTCAGATACTTTATGTTTTCAGACTCATGGATTTAAGTTTGTTATGAACATATTGCTGTTTCCATAGTTCTAAGGTCATCTTGTACTTTGTAGTACTTGTAAAGTTATAAGGATATTGTGCCACAGAAAACTCCCTGCCTCTATATGGTTCTGCTATCCTTGAATGACCTTGTGTTAGAACACAAGTCCATGCTCCTGGTACCCTAACATTTTTGTTCACTATAAAGGTTTTCCATTACTGACTTACAAGTTACCATACACTTAGCGTCTTAAGACAATAAAAATTATTTTTGTACGTCAGGAAGTCTAGGTTGGCTCATCTGGCTCATCTGGGTCCTCTGGGATTCCCCCCACTTTAACTAAATCATAAAAATATGAAAAGTCTATTTAGTAATAAAAGTGATGCTTCAATATATGTATAGATTATGTAGTGTTTTAAAATAGGTTAAAAGTTTCTTCTCAGTCATCTCTCATTTCTGTATGGTGAAACATTCAAAATCTAGCTTTTATAGAGCAATAGTACATATTTGTTCATCTGTAAGAGCATCTTGCTTCTATCCACATGTGGCTTAGAACCCAGCGATCAGCCTTTCTTCACCTTCCTACTGTTTTCAGGCTGGTAATCACCATTGCATTCACTCTCTGTTTTTTCTGTGTGAGAGAGAGAGGGAGAGGGAGGGAGAGAGAGTATTAGTTTTATAAAATGTGTGTTTTGTTGTTTATACGTGGATAAGAGAATGTAGTGCTTGTCTTTCTTTGTTGGCTTATTTCACATAACATAAATGTAAAAATCTATAATTCTATTCATGTTGTTACAAGTGACCAGATAGCATTGTATGCTTGGGGCCCTAAAGCCAAAACCAATGTGTTGACACTGTTATGTGCGTGCAGTTTGGAGACTCTGGGGAAGAATCCACTTGCAAAATCACTCAAGTTGTTGGCTGTACAATTGTAGAACAGCCCTCCCTCTTCCCTTCTCTGCTCTTAGCTTGAAGAGGCTGAAATGCTTCCCTTGTGGCCATCTCTGGCAGTGGCAGATCAGTTCCTCTATTTTTAACCCATCTGACTTTCTTTTCTGGCTAAATCTTTTACTCCAGATGGGGAAAGGTCTCTGTTCTAGAGCTTACCATGATGGATACAGGGTATTCTGGTTTTGGTATCTGTAATCTCTGTATACCTGCAGAGTTCCCTTTTCTTTTACTATAACCTAGTCGTGAGTTCCAGGGATTAGAGCATAGACATTTTTTTAAATACATATATTTTTCATTGTGAAAGCTAGTCTGTTTTATTTTCTTAATTTTATGTTGTGTTTTGTCTGCATGCATGTTGGTGTGAGGATGTTGAATCCCCTGGAGTTGGAGTTAAAGACAGTTGTGAGCTGCCATGTGGTGCTGGAATTGAACTGGGGTCTTGAAGAGCAGCCAGTGCTTTTAACTGATGAGTCATCTTTCCACCTCCTTTGAGCATGGACATTTTTGAGGGACCATTCTATTACAAATTGACTCCTTAAAATTTCTTATCGTAAGTTTAAATCACTGAAAAATATAATTTCTGTGTTTTTTAGATATGGTCAGCACTCTTAAAAGTATCTAATAACATACTTAATACTATTACTGGTTTTAAAATCAAGCTAAGCTTAGTAGTTGGATTTTTCATTGTTCCTTTTCACTAAACTCTTGTTTCTTTTTCATTCCTCCAACATAATTTATTTGGATCCAGTATATCTTAGTGTTTAAGAATACTTTATTGGTCATTTTCTACTTCGTAATAACTATAAACCTAACTTCTCAATTTTCATATTTATTTCTTCTTTTCTTCATTCTCGTGGAACTCCCTCTCAGGACAGTGTGTTTTCAGATAGTATTTCAAAAATGAAAGAAGTAGTCATTAAATGAAAATTGTTTTTATTATCAACTACAGAGCATGTGAAGAATTCAGAACATTATTGAACACAGGACAAGATACAGTTGATGAAACCAAGATACAATTGATAAAACCATGCTTTGAGTTTAGCAGAAATACAGTATAGAAAAAGAGGATTAATTATACCTTTATTAATGGATGCTTTGTGATGGTCTTATTTAAAATTATCCATATTTTAAACTGCAAAGCCAGAGCAGTGTGTCCAAATAAGATTTAGGATAAGTGAGGAGTACAGGGGCATTTCTGTTTTTGAAAGCATGAAAATGAGGACTTGGGGGAAAAAGACAAGTTGAAGACTTAGAAACCAAGTATCATTTGGGAGGCTTTCATGGGACATCATTAATAAACAACCATTAAGGTTGTAACTTTGTAAATTTGCCCCATGCCTGCTTACATACAGTCTTACTACATACCACCCAGGACTTCTCTTGGACATATAAGACTCTTGAGTTTGTGACCAAGAAAAGATTGGTTCCTCTTTAACACGGATGCCTATCCCCCAGGCTCTGTGTTGTTAGTGTTTGGCTCTCTATTAGAGTGTTTACTGTTTGCAGTCCTGGTACCTTTGTGTGGAGACACTGCCTCTTGCCCACAGGTTAATTATGTCCAAATATACAGAAAGTGGGTAGGGTGATAGATACTGGTGAAGGAGAGAGTCCTTACATCTGTGCCTTCGGAGGTTCAACAAGTGTTACTTTTAATGCTTACCAAAGTCTAGATGATTATGGGTAAGTCAAGCTGGTAGGACAGGTATGTATGGCTGGTTAGTTTAACCTTGTTGCCTTTTGATTGAAGGGATGATAATTGCCTTGCTGTGTTTCAAGATGCTAGTTCCAGATCTTTGTGAACAGCTGCTGAAATAAGAATATAAACATCTGTGTGCAGATAGGCACACTTGTAAAAGTGAACATTCTCTGAAAAAAACAAAATAGTTTGCAGGAGCCTATCTCTGCCTGAAATATGTGAGCATTGTTTCATTGTCATCACACAGAGCAATATGCAAGGCCAGTCTGCAGGTGGTGAGGAAGAAGGGACGATCATGAGTACCAGAACGGCAATGTAAGAGCACAGGAAAAAAAAAAAAATTAACTAAACTTGGGGAGAGTAAACTCATACAGGTCATCCACAAAACTGTCCATTGATTTGCAGTCCCATAGCCGAGGTTTGCATTTGTATTGCTAAATAATCTTCTTTAAGTCCTTTCTTCATAAGGAACAGTTTGTATTTAAAACAGATTTTTTTTTTTTTTTTTTTTTTGGCCAGCTTTGAAATAAGACATTTCCTGGTTTCTGATTTTCCACTTTAAGATATTAAACATATTAAGCAACCTTCATGAAACCTAAAGGAAAGTGTTGCCCTTCTTTCTAGTAGTCTGCAATAGGAAAATCTCCCAAATTCTTACATGGGGGGATCATTCCCAATGTACTGGTATAGGAGTATCTGTTTCCTTTGGAACATCATGCTTTGGAAATCAACATAGTTGGTTTCTTTCCCTAACATAGTTGATAGCTGAACCATCCACCAAGTTCTTAGCCCTCTCACCGTGTTCAGTACTTACATAACAGATCTGTGTAATCATTTGTAAGTTTTGTATATTGCCTGTAAGAGCTGACCCTCAGCCCTGCTGTGCTGCTACACACCTTTAATCCCAGTATTTTGAGGCAGAGGTAGGCAGAGCTCTGAATTTGAGGACAGCCTAGTCTACGTAGTGAGTTCCAGGACAGCCAGGGCACACAGAGAAAACCCTGTCTAGAAAAACCAGAGGGAGAGAATGAGTTTACTCTCCTGTATTACAATGATTTAGATTTTTCTTTGCTCTTACATTGCTATTCTGATATTCATGATTGTCCCTCCTCCTCCTTCTCTCCCTCCTCCTCCTCCTATCACCTACAGATTGGCCTTGCATGTTGAGAGAAACGTTTATGAATGTTGGCCGTTCTCTGCCAGGGGCAAGACCTTTTTTTTTTTCTTTTTTTCTTTTTTTTAAGATTTATTATTTATTATGTATACAGCGCTCTGTCTGCATGTATGCCTGCACACCAGAAGAGGATACCAGATGATTGTGAGCTACCATGTGGTTGCTGGGAATTGAACTCAGGACCTCTGGAAGAACAGCCAGTGCTCTTAACTGCTGAGCAATCTCTCCAGCCCAGTGACAAGACCTTTTTATGAGATACCTAACCATCTTACATTTTAGAAAGAAATGAGTAGGATGGCAGCTAATTATCTAACAACATGCATACCCTTTTCCCTCATTGGTAGATATTTCAATTTTTAACCAGGTAGATGATGGCCTGATAATGGGGGCTCATTCCCAAGGTAATGGTACAGGAGCAAGCATCTATTTCCTTATGAACATCATGCTTTGGAAGTTAGTTCCTTTTCCTAACATAGTTCATAGCTACCATCCAACAACTTCTTGCCCATCTCACCGTGTTCAGTATGGACATAACAGATCTGTGTAATCATTTGTAAGTTTTGTGGGTTGTCTATAAAAGTTTACTCTAAGCCAGGCAGCTTCCCTGACATTTTGGCCAATTGTGACTAAGTTCTGCTCCATAGAATGTGAGTAGAAATTTCCTCTGGGGTTTCTGATAAGTTTGCATAACAGAAAGTCATTATTTACTTCTCTTTCCTTTGTGGTCTGCTCTGCAGCTGTGATGGCTAGAGCTTCAGCAGTTGTTAGAAACCTTGAAGGGAAAGGACTTGAGGATATCAGGGCAGTAAATGGTCCTGAGTACTTTATGATCATGGTTCTGGGATGCCCATGTTTATGATAATTAAACTTCTGAACAATGCAAGATTGCACTTACTCGATAAATCTTATTCTAGAATGCATGCCTGAAACACCAAGCTATTTCCATGTAAGATATACATAAACTAGGGTCCATAGATTTTGTTGTGTAGCAACAACGTAAGAAAAATACTAATTTTCACTCTGAACATCATGATGCTTGAATTCAGCTCTGACATTTCATCTATTACTTTACCTTCAGGTATATGCAACTAAAAATCATGTATTTTCTTTCTTTCACTAGGTTTTATTGCCTTATCACCATCCTTAAAATTGTTTTATATCTAGTAGCTAGAACTGTGTTGGCAATTGGAAACCTGTATGGTGAACATCTTCCTGAAACATTTGAGATTTTGGAAGAAACTTTATAATTTTATATAATAAGATAAATAGTAGGCAAAATGTAAATATAAAATGTATGTTAAACAGTGTATTCTCTTCTGCTTCTCTCCTTTTCTCTAGAGATACTAAATGGCAACTTGGGAAGTGCTGCTTGCTTAGCAAGAGCTTAAGGATTCCTGTCAACAGAGTAAAGCTCATGGCCCACCAGCTACAAAGGTAACGGAATTTGAGCTTCTTCCCCATCCTGCATGTGTGTGTACATGTGTACACATGCATATTCATATCATGAGTGCATGCGCATGTCAAGTGTCTTCCCATTTGTTTCCACCCAAGTTTTTGAGACAAGTTCTTTCTCTGAACCTGGAACTCACTGATTGAGCTAGACTGACTGAATTGGCCAGCAAGCCCCAGGGTTTCTCCTATCTCCACCTTTTGAGTGCTAGCCTTTTTTCTTCTTCTTTCTTCCGAGTTCTGGAGATCTCTTCAGGTTTGTGCAGAAAGCACTTCACCAACTGGGCCATCTTCCTGCTCCAAAGGAAAGTTTTGAATGTAAAATTCTTCTTTTCATATTATAACGGTTGGTCTCTAAAACATTAATGAAAATAACAGCTGTTTCTGTTCAGCAGTCCTTAACACTAGTATCCTATATTGATAGTATTCAGTGTAGAGGGTGGGGAGGAGATCTGCAGGGTTAGCAAATTTAGAAATGGCCTTTTGGAAATCGGGTGTGTATTAGCATATGAGAACACACTGAAGACTTTAATTCTTTAATTATTTCTCAATCCAAAAGTTCTTAAACTTAGCTTTTTAGCAGAGTCAAAAACTTAAAGTCTGCCGGACGGTGGTGGCACATGCCTTTAATCCCAGCACTCGGGAGGCAGAGGCAGGCGGATCTTTGTGAGATCAAGACCAGCCTGGTCTACAGAGCGAGATCCAGGAAAGGCGCAAAGCTACACAGAGAAACCCTGTCTCGAAACCCCTTGCCCCCCCCCCAAAAAAAGTCCTAATTCACCTAAAAAACTTTAATTGTAGTAACAGAAGTTAATCTATGAAGTGTTTTGTGGCTTATAGAATCATTTGAGGCAAAAAGCTTACCTATTTTGTGGCTGTGTAAATTTATTTGCTTGTGGAAGTTTATTGCCATGATTGTTGCCAGCCAACCCAGAATCATCAAGTTGAAGTTACATAGTTTGTCCCTCACACCTTTTTGAATATGTACATGCCAACAGGGATGTCAGAGATACGAAGTATGGTGATTTTTGTGTGCAAACTATTTCCTGTTTATGTAGTTCCTAAAAATATTAAGATCAATCCATGTGAGTCTATTAAACAGAATTGATTAAGATACAAATTGAGGAAGTACACTCACGAATACAGAATAGAGTAGACAGTTGAAGTCGTCCTCTGATCTGACCAGGAGCAAATCCACCTCTCAGGCAGGAGCGGGGAGAAGAGGCATGTGACCTTTGTCCCTTCCCTTATAAGAGGTCACATACAATGGCAGGAAGCACCACCTCCTTCGGGCCCTGTAGCCCAAGATCATGGGCAGAGCAAATACCACTACATTTTCTCTTTTTGTCTAAATAAGAAAGTCCTAAACTTAATGCAAACTATATACACTAAGAATGGTTATCAAGTATTGTCCAGAAAAACAAAGGGTAATAACATAAATAAAAATGGAACTACAACCAACAAAAATAACATCAAATAAGAAAGATATACTAAGTGTCCAGAACATAGGTAAATGCCAAATTACTGAGATTACTCCAATAGCTGACCTATCTTGAAGATTATAACTCTAATAATATGTTCTAGCTAAGATAAGAGAAGATTGTAACTGTAACTATCTAATCTTCAACTCCATCAAAGACCTGAGAAGGAACATAATACTTGAGAAAACAGAAAATGCTAGCAAGCAATTTTCTAAGTTCTTGCAAGAATAGACAGAGACAGCTGGCTGACTGTACAGTCACCTAAAGTTTCTCAGCATCCTTGGGGCATCCAATTTGGCTACAGTCCTAGAATATCTGACAGACCATTTTCAGAAGCAGGAATTTTGAAAGACCATCTTACCATGTCTTGGCAGAGTTCATTAGTCGCTTTTCCTTGTGTCCTGCTCCTCTATAAAGGACAGCATTCGTACTGTCCACAGTTGAGGCAAGGGCAGTTCTTTGCCCAGGAGGCCATTTTGTGCCAAGAAGACGACAAACTTCTAAATGGAAATGTCTTAGAAGCTCAATATTCTCTCGGGATCAGATTGGTGTTGCCAGGAGCAATCGTGCCTCATGTCAACAGAATTCTAAGTTATCAAAACATTTAAATGTCATAATCTCTAGGTCTATGAAGTGTTTGAAGATTACCTGTCCATCTTTTTTATGTTTCTGTAAATCTGGACAACCTAACTAACAAAACTATAGAAATGACAAGCATGGGTGACTATAAATCTGTAAGTCTTCTCTACCTAAATAACCTAAGGACTAAGGCCTCACATTAACAAGGTAAACAGTCTGTAAGCAGATGTACCATGTAAGGACAATGACCTGAAATTGTGACAGTACAAAATATCTTAAACAGAGAGGTAGAAATGTATAGTGCAGTATGCAATATAGCAACAATATCCTTACTATGTATCAATAAACAAAGTATCCTAAACAGAGGTAGAACATACATATAGTATGATAAATATAATATTACATTTGTATCAATATACAAAATATTTCACACAGGAGTAGAAATATGTGTATAATACAACAAATATAGTTTTGTATTTGTATCAATATACAAATTATCTTAAATAGGAATATAAGAATAGTTTACATTTGTGTCAAATATATAAGAATCCATATCAGTGCAAATTATCTAAGACTGATAGTTTCCTAAATCAGTTTACTGGTAGATACAGTAATCCACCTTAATATACTATACCTATCCATTCCCCTTTTTCTTTACTAAAGGAAAATATTGAGTCTAAATTTTATTGTTCCACCCCCAACCCTATAGCTATACATCCATAACCCTGAGAAAAATGAAACCTTTGGGAAAGGAGCGTCATTTTCTTAGAACTGCTTCCTGCTGTTTAGGGGACAACCATATCTCTGTGGGGTCATATAAGAAAGCTTAGTTAGGTCTCAGTAGGGCTAGCCATAGAGTCTGCAACCAGTCTCAGAGTAATGGATAAGATTGTCTGAGATTCTGGCCAGAAGTGTAGTATGATAAGTCCATCTGATCTTAGAACTGTCCTGAAGAGTTTTCAGTCCAAAGCTGATCATTGAGTAATGCTCTTAGGTGTAATGTCATCATTCTGGACCGAGTAGAGTCATTGTTCTGGGTCCCCATCTTCCTTTTGGAGACTTCAGAGATTGCTATTGGGAAGACTTATTTTCACTGTGCAAGACTTGAACATTATTAATATCAAAATGGAAAGTTTGGATTTAAAGATGATATAACATGTAAAAAAGGATTCCAAGAAATCAAGAATAAGCATGGAGAGAAATAGAATCTTGATAACAGTGGTCCTTAGATTATTTGTTTTCTTCTATCTCACACCAGTTGGCTCTTCCGATATGAGACAGAATCTCTTAATTTTTTTTTCTTTTAATAACATGCTTGGGTTTAGAGAAGGAGAGAGCCACATTCCAACTGCAAAGCCAGCTTGATTTATAATTGAATCAGGACCACAACTATTCTAGAGTTAAGGAGATAATGATGTTAGGCAGTGAGATTATTACCCTGTAGAGTATATTGGTACCAATAGGCCCTTCCTTTATGTAGTAGATGTCTAGGTGTCCAAGGCCTTATGATTTCTTGAAGATGGGTATTTCTGTTATCTTATAAAGACAAAAAAGAGATCCCTGCCCTGTCCCTTGTTTGTTGAGTTTTCCTTACAACTTGTAGAGTTGTCACATAGGTGGATGAGCTATTACTTCTCATCAAGGGTTTTCTCCTGTTCAAAGTGAATTTTTATTAATTTTGTTGATATCCATAGCTTTTCTTCTGCAGGGGGGGAAAAAAAAACCCTTCCCCAACGTAGGATGCATCCTGATTTCTATTTTGAAGTCAACACATCTTTGAAGTAAACCAGTAGGTTTAGCTCGGGAGTTTTTTCTGTTGTCCAATGTCTCTGCAGCTGTTGTTCCTTTCTCATCAGCACTGAGAAAATTCAAAGTTAATAAAGCATTATGTAATCTATTTCTAGGAGTCATTGTTACCTGTTTCTGTTTATTTAGCATATTCTTTAAAGTTCGATTGGATCTTTCTATGACTGCTTGGCCTGTTGGATTGTGTGGTATACCTATAACATGCATTATATTGTAATAAGCAAAATCTGTCTCATTTTATTTGATTCATATGCTAGAGCATTGTCAGTTTTAATTTGTACAGGTATTCCCATGATGGCCATAGCTTCCAATAGGTGTATGATCACAGAGTCAGCCTTTTCAGAACTCATAGGTGTTGCCCATTGAAATCCTGAATAGGTGTCAATGCTATGGTGTACATATTTTAATCTTCTAAATTCTCCAAAATGAAACACATCCATCTGCCAAATTTTCTTTGTATATCTTTAGAATTACTTCCTTCAGGTAATGGAGTTTGGTTATAGAAGGAATAAGTAGGACTTTTTTTTTTAAATAATTTCCTTGGCTTGTTGCCAAGTGCTGGAAAAGTCCTTTTTCAAACCTTTGCTATTTACATAGTATTTCTTATGAAATTCTGAGGCTTCTAGCACATTACCTATTAATACCTGATCAATCTCCTCATTACCTTGTGCTAGAGGACCTGGCAGACCCATATGGGATCTGATGTGTGTTACATATATAGGATGTTCCCTATTTCTGATGATTTCCTGTAATTGTATAAATACTGAGGTTAATTCTGTGTTGTGTATAAATTCAGCAGTTTCAATATGTAAAACAACTCTTTATGCATATTGAGAGTCAATAACTAGATTGAGAGGTTCTGTGAAGTCCATTATACCATAAGAATAGCATATAGTTCTGCCTTTTGTACAGAATTGTCAGGGCTTTGAACCACTTTACTTAAGTCTCCTGATTTATAACCTGCCTTTCTTGATTTATTTGCAAAAGTATAGAATGTGGAGACTCCAGAGATTGGTTTTTGCCATACAGTGTGAGGAAGGACCCATTCAGTTCTCTTTATGAATTCTATTCTCTTGCTTTTGGCCTAACAGTTGTTAATATCTCCCAAAAAGTTACTGCAGGCTCTTTGCTAAAGAGGAAATTTTCCTCATTAGTTAAAAGTACCACAATTTCTGCTGGGTTCATTCCTGTCAACTGACAAAGTCTTAATTTTCCTTTTAGAATCAATTCAGAAATATTTTCTACGTAAGTCTTTAACTTCTTACTTGGGTGGTAGAAATACCATTCCAATGTAATATCTTCTTCCCTCTGCATCAGAATCCCTGTGGGAGAGTGTCTGGAGGAAAGTATGACCAGAAAACAGTTAAGTTCTGGATTCACACGATCCACACGTGCCTCTTGTATTTTCTTTTCTACTAAGGCCAATTCCTTCTCAGCTTCAGCTGATAATTCTCTTGGACCATTTAAGTCCTTGTCCCCTTTTAGAATATTGGCCAAATTTACTAGTCTATCTTTAGGTATTCCAATGATGGTCTGTAAGTTGGAAATGCTTTTTAACAATGTTTGAAAATCATTAAGAGTATGCAGTCGATCTCTCCTGAGTTGTACCTTTTGGGGTCTAATTTTTTTGTAGATCTATCTTATATCCTAAGTAATTAATAGAATCTCGTCTTTGTATTTTTTTTTTTCAAGAGCAATTTGTAATTCCCAGGCAAGGCAAAACTTTCTTTACTTCTTCAAACATACTTTCTAAGGTACCTAACTTTGGATCAGCTAACAAGATATCATCCATATAATGGTAGATTATAGATTGTGGAAATTTTGCATGAATTATTTCCAGCGGTTTTTGCACAAAATATCGGTACAGGGTAGGGCTAGTTAGCATTCCCTATAGGGGACCTTCTATTGATATCTCTTGACCAGATGGGAATTATTTTAAGTAGTTACTGTGAAGGCAAATTTTTCTCTATCCTTTTCTTGTAGTGGTATGGGGGGGAAAAACAGTTTTAAGTCAATAACTATAATAGGCCATTCTTTGAGTAACAGAGAGGGCAAGGGTATCTCATTCTGTAAGGAGCCCATAGACGGAATTGCTTTATTTATGGCTCTCAAATCTGTCAGCATTCTCCATTTACCAGATTTCTTTTTAATAACAAATACAGGAGAATTCCAAGAGCTGGTAGATGTAGCACAAATCTTAAAAAGTTCTTATTAATAAGATCAAACCTGAGCCAGGTATTGGCGTGTATGCTGGAAGATCAGAGAGACAGAATAGGCCACAGCTTCCTCACCTCGCCAATTCCTCAACTGATCCTGTTTCCTCAGACTGGAAGCCTCTCAGTCCTCATCCCAAATGAATCTCAGCTGAACTGTGCTGCTTCAAAGCCTGAAAGTTTAAGCAGCCAAATGCTTCTAGTTTCTAGTCTTCACGCCTTATATACCTTTCTGCCTTCTACCACCACTCCCTGGGATTAAAGCCTCGCTTTCTGGGATTAAAGGCATGAGTCACCACGCTTGGCTGTATCCTTGAACACATGGATTTCTGCCTCTGGAATGCTAGGATTAAAGGCGTGTGTTACCACTGCCTATCCTCTGTGTTTAATATTGTGGTTATTCTGTCTCTGACCCCAGATAAGTTTATTAGCGTGCATAATATTTTGGGGAACACAATACTACCACAGGTAGATTCTTCAATGTGTTGAGCATTTAATTGTTCCTGAGCCAGCTGTTCTAAAGCTCATAGTTTCTCTTGTGTCATAGGCCATTGTCCAACCCAGACAGGTTTATCCGTTAGCCATTTTAAAGACAGGGTCGTTGGTACTTCTGAGAGTTCAACGGCAGTTATGCTCTGTTTATGTACAGCCTGAATGGTTGGTGATAGTATCTTACCATATTATTCCCAGAAACATGAATTGGTCTATATTCCACTCGAGATTGGAGGAATTTTAATCTGGTGTTCCATTGCTGTAACAGATCTCAGCCTCAAAGATTCGCTGCTACATTTGCCACAAACGGGCTTCAGCCTTCCTCTCTGTCCTTCTGGCCCTTTGCATTCAACCCATCTCGAACTCTGTTTTACCTGAGATACAGTTCCAATCCATAGAAATTGGACACTTACCTCTTGAAGAGGTCAATTTGGATGCCATGATTTTAGTGTAATTATAGTCACATCTGCACCTGTCTACACT